GTCGGAGAACACTTCAATCTCTCTGGTCACGCAATTACAGACATGAAGGTTGCTATCTTACAACTAAAAAACTTCAAATCCAGACTCCAGCGAGAAACTGCTGAATTGGAATTCATTTGCAAATTGGATACTATTAATTTAGGCTTAAATAGAGACTGGGAGTGGCTAAGTCATTATGCAAGGTAGCCTATTTCCCCTTGTTTTTTCCACACCCCCCCCCCCCCGACGTTCTGGTTAAACTTGGATTTATGCTGGAAATGGCCCACCTTGATTATCATGCACACTGTAGGGAGAGTGGTCACTTTGGATGAGCTATTACCAGCAGGAGAGTGAGTTTGTGTGTGTATGGGGGGGGGGGGTGAGAAAACCTGGATTTTGCTGGAAATGGCCCACCTTGATTATCATGCACATTGTAGGGAGAGTGGTCACTTTGGATAAGCTATTACCAGCAGGAGAGTGAGTTTGTGTGTGTGTGTTTGGGGGGGGGGGGTGAGAAAACCTGGATTTGTGCTGGAAATGGCCCACCTTGATTATCATACACATTGTAAAGAGAGTGGTCACTTTGGATGGGCTATTACCAGCAGGAGAGTGAGTTTGTGGGGGGGGAGGGGCAGAGGGTGAGAAAACCTGGATTTGTGCTGGAAATGGCCCAACTTGATTATCATACACATTGTAAGGAGAGTGATCACTTTAGATAAGCTATTACCAGCAGGAGAGTGGGGTGGGAGGAGGTATTGTTTCATGGTCTCTGTGTATATAATGTCTTCTGCAGTTTCCACAGTATGCATCTGATGAAGTGAGCTGTAGCTCACGAAAGCTCATGCTCAAATAAATTGGTTAGTCTCTAAGGTGCCACAAGTCCTCCTTTTCTTTTTGCAAAATACTAAAGCAGCCTACTTGCATTGTGAGCTCCCTGGAAGAAAATACCACCCATAGCCAAGAGTGATCAGATCCTATTGTCTAGCCTAAAGAAAACCCTTGAGTCATCAGTTTACCCATAAAGAAATCTAGTGTTCTCCCTTGAACTATTGTTGTTTCTCTACAAAAACTCCTACCTATGCCCAAGTAAGTGTTCTGATGCATGGACCCAAACTCTGAATCAGCTCCACTGGGACTCCATCTCCTGACTGATCATGCTGGGGGCTCTGCCTGTCTCCAGCACTCAGGACCCTGAGCTACCACCATCACCTGGAAACCCCGACCAGTTCAAGCCTCATGGAGTGGGTGAGATCCCTCTCTGTTTTCTTTTCTACCTCAGGTATTAACCTTTAATAATATAATTGTTATAAAAACAAGAAGTCTGGGGGCACCTTGAAGACTAAGGGATTTATTTGGGCATAAGCTTTTTTGGGTAAAAAACCACTTCTTCAGATCTGGCATCTGACGAAGTGGTTTTTTTACCCACAAAAGCTTATGCCCAAATAAATCTGTTAGTCTTTAAGGTGCCACCGGACTCCTTGTTGTTTTTGTGGATACAGACTAACACAGCTACCCCCCCGATACTTGTAACTGTTATGTTTGTTTCGGCTCTCCTTGTGTAGTTATCACTATTATTCAGTAAATAACTTTTATGGTTAAGCTGGTTGCTTCTCTCTCTCTGAACTCTACTCTTTTGTGTTTTTAGCATCCCTATTTACTGTGCAGCAACGCTTCTTTTACCTAAGCTAAAGATCCCTGCAGCACCCAAAAATACTGCAGGGTTTGCTCATCAAGTGGGTTACTACCGGTACAATTGTGATATGAAAGTGGGGATAGGGAGGTGCTGAACCTGTAACTTACGAGGGCAGCAGCTTGAAAGTGCTGCTTGACCCAGTCCGCTCAGACGTGTGTGTGTGTCGGGGGGGGGGGGGGGGTCCCTGCAGGACAGCTCCATTGGGAGGGGACTTGCAGAAGGGAGAAGTAGAGCTCCATATGAAAACACAAGGGACACAAACAGTACATTGATAGAATTAAAGACCCCCACACACCAGAAGAGTAACCCTAATAAATGAGCGTACCCCGAAGCAACGGGCAAATCTGGTAACAATAGGGACCTAATGGGAGGGCAGCAGTGTATGGAAGTGAACGGGGTGCAGGGCTGTGGCGGGTGAGGGACATGGGGCTGGCGGCTCTGGGAGATGGAGAGGATGGGTGGGAGAGTGCTGTAAGGGGTACAAAACTGGGATGGGTAGGGATGCACTGATGGCGGATAGGGGTGCGGGGCTGGGATGGGGAGGGAGGCAGTGAGGGGGATGAGGGTGCAGCATGCTGAGACTGGGATACATACCTCCAACTCCTGGGGACGGCGACAGGGCGACAGACCACGCATCGCCTCAGGCCCCATGCCAGAGTGCTGGCCCAGCCACAGGGGGAGCGCAAGGAGAAGCGGGCCGGGCAGCAGCAGTGCCCGCCACGTGACCCCCTCAACAGCCACCTGCTAGGCATGCTAATTTGTCCCCTGCCCAATGGGAGCTACACCTGTGGGGGGTGGGGCAGCACATGGCTGCCCCCAAGCCTAGGAGCCGGACACGCCAGCTGCTTCCCAGGAGCCACAGCACAGAGGTTAGCAGGGAGCCTGCAAGCCCCGCTGGAGGGTGCCATCAACTGGACAGCCTACGGCCTGGTCAGCGGTGCTCACTGGAGCTGCCAGGATCCCTTTTTGACCAGGTGTTCTGGTTGAAAACCGGACACCTAGACACCTGGCGTTGTGTCTCCAGCATTCTTAGCAGCCTCATTAAGTTCTTCTAAAATTCGCTTTGACCGTGACAGGCTTATCAGGCTTTCTGCATGTCGACGCAGTCCACAGGCACAGTGTTTTGTAGCCTTTTCATATAGGCTATCAGTATTGGCTTGGCTGATCAGTCTGGCAAACTAAGTTCTCCATTTTTACTACATAAATCCATGATATGCCCACATCTTGAACAGTGCGTGCAGTTCTGGTCACCCATTCTCAAAAAAGATATATTAGAATTGGAAAAAGGTAAAGAAAAGGGCAACAAAAATGGTTACAAGCCTGGAACAGATTCCATATGAGCACAGATTAAAAAGAGTGGGACTTTTCAGCTTGGGAAAGAGACGACTGTGGAGAAAATGAATAAGGAAGTGTTACCCTTTCACTGAACACAAGAACCAGGAGCTGCCCAATGAAATTAATAGACAGCAAGTTTAAAACAAACAAAAGGAAGTATTTCTTCACACAACGCACAGTCACCCTGTGGAACTCTTTGCTAGAGGATGTTATGGAGGCCAAGACCATAACAGGGTTCAAAAAAGAACTAGATAAGTTCATGGAGGATAGGTCCATCAATGACAATTAGCCAGGATGGGCAGGGATGCAATCCCATGCTCTGAGTGTCCCTAGCTTCTGTTTGCCAGAAGCTGGGGGTGGATGAAAGGGGATGGATCACTTGATCACCCTGTTCTGTTCATTGCCTCTGAAGCACCTGGCATTGGACACTGTTGGAAGACAGGATACTGGGGTAAATGGATCATTGGTCTGACCTGTTATGGCCATTCTTACATAAAAATGAATTATTATAATGAAGTTTAGTACAGAAACTCCAAGACAATGACCTCTTGAGATAGTGATGATGTGAGATAATGACCCGGGCAAATAATGCATTTAAAAAATCTGGGCCTACTAGGAAACGTATATTTATGTAAGTTTCCCAGTCACAAATGTAGCATTCTGGAGTGAAGTCACTAAAACACAGTCCAACAAACAAATGCTCTGGCCACTGTTTGTCGTGCCACTGTTCACTCCGCTGCTCCGTCCCCAGCCCTGGCAAGCCCTAGCACAAATTAAGTACTGAGGGAGACCCCCTCATTCAGGCAGGCTAAGTACAGTTCTCCTGCCCTTTACTCATACAGTAAGGATAACAACATTTCATGACCCCCCACGCACACATTTAAGAGCAGATTTAAAAATTTTATGAAAGCTAACCCTAAAAATGTATATAATACCCAGGTTAAGAAAAGAGTGTCTGTACATCCGGGTATAGTGCTTAGATTATCCACAAATACAAAGATTGTTTTTAAAGCCATAAGATACATATAGTGCATAATCAGCAATAACCCAAATTTAGGTGAATGAATTTAAGAATACAGTTTAGATATTACCATCCAAGTACAAATTCAGGTACATTTTGCATAACTTTTCATGAGTGAGTTGGTTGTGGAAAGCACAATATATCAATGAGTGAAGATTGTCCCTCAGTAATTGAGAATTTCGGATAGGTTGTCCATTTAGAACAAAAAAAAAAAAAAACAAAAAAAACCAAACAGTCCATCAGGAAAGTATTTGAGTTACTTTCCCCACTGCGCTTCTCATCGGCACTCCAGCTCATTCCTCCTGGTATTGCTGATGTCCCCGATGTGTTCTAGGTAGATGTCCCTCGATCACCTGATGGCGTCCGACACCATGAGTTGCCACATCAGCCGAGTGTAGCGTTTACCAACTCCACATTCTCTCAGCACTTGCTCGTTACCAGGGTCCCATGCACCCTGGGCTCCGATGATTAGCATCTGAATTTGAACCTGGTAGCCCCTAGCTCTCAAGGGGTCGGCTAGAGGGGCATATTTCTCCAGCTTTCGAGATCGGGCATCGTGGAAGGCCAGGGTCCTGTTCTCAAATGGCATTTTGACATCCACCATGATGATCTTCTTCCAATCCTCGTTGGTGATGACAATGTCCAGTCACAGTTGGCTGTCGGTACCGGGAATGGCGGAGTTTACGGCAACCTTCCCCACAGGTGGCGGGATGGCTCTGACCAGGCAATCTTGGATGGCGTTGTGTCGCAGATGCCAGGCTCTGGAATGGGGCTTGCAGCTCCGCAAGACCTGGGGTAGTGTCTTGTTGGCATAACCGCACTGCCTGCATCGCTTGTCCCGATTCCCGTGGCAGACGGCTCCGTTCAGCGGGACACAGTTGAGCTGGGCCCTGTGACTGAACCTCCAGTCGGCAAATGGGGTGAGGCTGTCCCTCGGAGGAAGTGGTTGCTGGCGTCCCACTTGCACGTCACCTCGAACGCCTTGCCCTGGCCCGGCTTCCGTTTCAGGTTTTCCACATACTGGCAGTGGATGGCATCCTTGAGGGTGTTCTCCAGCGTGGTTCTGGCTCTCGGAGTGATGATGGTGTGCTCCGTGTTCCTCACCTGTGGCACGAGGACTCCCAGCTCCTGGCGTTCCTCGCACCTCGTCCAGTGGCAGCCGATACACTTCTCCAGCTGTTGCATAGCGTTGCGGGCACATGCTACAGTGATTTGTAACCCAGCACAAGCCAAAACGGATCACTTGGGCAGATACCTCGGCAGAGTAGGTGTGTTCATGTAAATACAATCTAAAGCCTTTCCACCCACCCCTGGCTCCTCACTAGCTGTCAGGGGAGATCTCATTCAGGCCTTGCTTACAAATCATCATTTGAAATCATTAGGTAGGCCAATATAGCCGAAACAAATGCGCCGACATTGTCATAAATAACAGCTGTGTGAAGAAGCCAGTCTTTGTTCAGACTTTTCAAACCCATTGTACTTTCTCAGGTACAGGTATTTTCTCATATACTGTATATGCTTTTAAAATGTGTATTAATGTTTCCATTTAAATTTAAATTTCCAACCAATGACTAAATTGGCAACACTGCATATAACCAGGGGGAGGGAGGAGCGTTGGGGAAATTCAGGGGCGTGTAGGGAAATCCCTGCTCTGGTATGAGCATGGGCAGCAGGTATAATAGACCAGGGAAGGCTAAACATCCCCTGGCACAGTTGCCACCGGACACCTGGGCTGTGCTGGTCCCACCTGCGCTGCACCTCTTCTCCCCTCTGCTTTGCCCTTTCCCCAAGGCCCCCACTGCCTGGTGAGTCCCTCCTCTCCTCTCCTCCACTCCCCCTCCCCGAGGTTCCCACCGCTCGCTGTGTCCCTCTTGCGGGTGGCCCAGGCAGACGGCTCAGGCTGGTGCTCAAGCCAGCTTGGGAGTCGAGATGGCGCTTGGTCTGGTGCTCCTCCAGCTGCGGTGGGAGTGGGGGGGACTCAGGGCTTCGGCGGGTGAGGAGGGGTGGAAGGTGCAGGGCCTCAGGCGGAAGGGGTGGGCCCAGTGTTGACCAGGAAAGGGTGCATTGTTCTGTGATGGCAACCCTATCAGGCCTGACAAACTCACTCATCCTCATGCATTGTGTTCACAGTATTTATCCACAATGGGTCATGGGAGGACGCTAATAAAGGCTCATGTCACACTGTTCCCAAGGATCATTGCAAGAAGCTTGGGGAAGACGATCTTTAAGAAAATACGTTTATATACGAGAAACTGTTTTAAAGTCTGAATCCAGGCAGGGCTGACAAACCAGGTTTGCCAGACAAAGGGATATCTAGTGTGACAAAGTTCCTCCTCTGCCTTGGTGGGTCCTGCGCTTATTGGCAAATTTGCTCACCTCAGAGATTCACAGCAGCCCTCAGTTTGGCCACTCTTGGTAGTGGCTCAAACCTGCCATCCACTCAGCTAGCCTCATCACTGGCCAGCATGGGGAAACAGAGAACAATCCCCACAGTCTCTGTGTCCCACCTAGTGGGTCAGGGACAGGGCAGATCCCTTTCCAATTTAGGCCTTCCCTTCTGGTGTTTCTCACAGGCCACGTCAACTCCTCCTGTGTCAGATCAGGAGTTGAGGGGATGGGGGGAAACTTGGGCCCACCCTCTACACCAGGTTCCAGCCCAGGGCCCTGTGGATAGCAGCTGTCCACAATGTTCCCTGTATCAGCTGCGTGACAGCTACAACTCCCTGGGCTACTTCCCCATAGCCTCCTCCCAGCACCTTCTTTAGCCTCACTGCAGGATCTTCCTCCTGAAGCCTGATCACGCTTGACCTCTTCACTCCTCCAGCAGCATACCTTCTCACTCCCTACTCCTGGGACACCCCCCTACTAACTGATGGGAGGTCCTTTTTAAACCAGGTGTCCTGATTAGCCTGCCTGCCATAATTGAATCTAGAAAGTTCTTAATTGGCTCCAGGTGTCTTGATTAGCTTGCCTGTCTTAATTGGTTCTGGCAGCTTCCTGATTGCTCTAGGGCAGCCCCTGCTCTGGTCACTCAGGGAACAAAAAACTATTCATCCAGTGGGCAGTATATTTGCCTTCGACCACACTTCTGTATGCCCGCCCACGTCCTGGATCCCAATAGGACCACACTCCTGTATGCCCGCCCACGTCCTGGATCCCAATAGGACCACACTCCTGTATGCCCGCCCACGTCCTGGATCCCAATAGACCACACTCCTGTATGCCCGCCCACGTCCTGGATCCCAATAGGACCACACTCCTGTACCCCACTGGTCTGGGTCTGTCACACTAGCTATCTCTCTCCCCCCTTAACCCTAACATGCAGGTTAAGCATTGTAAGCCCTGTTTACATATAGCAGTGCTTCTCAACCAGGGGTAGTTGCACCCCTGGGGGTACACAAAGGTCTTCCAGGGGGTACATCAACTCATCTAGCTATTTACCTCATTTTATAATATGTATAACTCTATATAACAGCCCTTAACATGGCTGCAGATCATCACCAGTCTGCTTTTCTCAAGACTAATAGACCCACCTCTTTTAACCTTCCCCCACCGGTCGGGTTTTCTAAACCTTAGATCATCTTTTGTTGCTCTCCTCAGGACTCAATCCCATTTGTCCTCATCTTTCCTAACGTGTGGTACCCAGAACCGGACACAGGACTCCAGCTGCGCCCTCCCCAGTGCCCAGCAGAGCAGGACAACGACCTCCAACAACTTACCTACAACACTCACGTTAACACACCCCAGAATGATACCAGCCTTTTCCCCAGCTGCGTCAATGGGTGACAGCCAGACAGCGTCTGAGTGAGACCATCAAAGACCATTCTCCCTCCCCCCCATTATTCAAGACAAGGGGCACTGGGGGTTTGAGAAACTAAATTCAACTTTATTCTTTTCAAAGCAAGAAATAAAAGCTAAATCCTCCACCCCCACTCCATCCAACACCCAGCTCACAGAGAGTCTGCAACAGCTCTCGGTGGGAGGACTCAGCTTGGGCAATGGCCAGCACTCCTGTGCTCACCCCCTCTGGAGTGTAAACCCAAAATTATATTACCTTACGCTGTATAGAAATCCATATAGCATAAGCCATGAAATTCACCCGCTCCCTCAATGTGCAGGAAGACATGCACGGCTTTCTCCCCCATTCTGAATTGCACAAACTGGGTTTTGATATAAACAAGAAATAAGTTGATGAACTACAAAAGGTAAATTTTAAGTGATTAGAAAGGATAGCAAACAGAACAAAGCAGATTACTGAGCAAATGAAACAAATGAAAAAAAACCACACAAACTAAGCTTAGGTTTCAGAGTGGCAGCTGTGTTAGTCTGTATCAGCGAAAACAACAAGGAGTCCTTGTGGCACCTTAGAGACTAACACATTTATTTGGGCATAAGCTTCCGTGGTCTAAAACCCACTTCATCTGATGCATGGAGTGAAAAATACACTAAGCAGAATATATATTACAGCACATGAAAAGATGGGAGTTGCCTTACCAAGTGGGGGGTCAGTCTAACGAGGTCCATTGAATCAAGGTAGAAGTGGCCTAGTCTCAACAGTTGACAAGAAGGGGTGAATGTCAACAGAGGGGAAATTACTGTATGTAGTGCTAACGAGGCCAAATCAAGGTGATTAGGTTAGCACCACAAACAATAATTTCCCCCTTTTGACATTCACCCCTTCTTGGCAACTGTTGAGAATAGGCCACTTCCACCTTCTCACCCTAAATGTTGTTTTGGGCAGGTTGCAGAGTTCCTACAGCTCAGAGGTCCAGTTATGTCTCTTTACAGGCTAGACCCCTGTCTCAGCCCGGACTCAGCCCTTGCCTTTCCCCTGCTTAGTTCCTTTGTTTCTCCAGGTGTTTTTAGCAGTCTTCCTTCTTGGGCGGGCAGGCAGTGGAGAAGACCCCGGATTGCCTTACTTCCCAGCCTTAAATAGAATTTACATAAGGCGGGAATCCCTTGTTTCTAGTGGAAAAGTACCAGCAGTGTCCAAGGCGGGACTCCTTACCAGGTGATATCATCACCTGACCTTGCAGGGTCAAAGCAGCATCCCAGGAAGCTTCTCCGGAAGGCGGGAGATTAGTGTCTTGAAAGTTCTATTGTCCTTAATGGCCCATCCAGGCTGATTGCCGACGGTCTGGTGGGTGTTCCCCCAAATACACACACAGTTGTAATTGTTACATAGTCAATATTCCTAACTTCAGATACAGAAACGATACATCTTTCCAATTGGATAAACACATTCAGTAGATCATAACCCATTCAATGATACCGCACATGACCCATCTTGCATAAAACATATCTTCGCTATGCCATAGTCATATCATAACAATATTTCTATGAAGAATATGGGGTGTAACGTCACACAAGGCCCTGTCCAACCCCCCCATCCCCCCACCCTCCTGAGTGTATCTTACATCTCTGCAGGGATCAGGCAGCAACTTCCTTCCCCGTTTCAGTCCCTGCCTCTCGGAGTGCGTATCCAGCACTCAACCTCAGTGTTTTTGTGGATACTGATCATTTTCTTTGTTCAAAAAACAAGAAAATCTCATGACTAAGGCCAGGGAAACATGAAAAGAAAATCAAAAGGACTATTTTGGCAAGTGCTCATTTGTCTTTTGAAATCCCTTCCCTAGCGCAGGCACCCCCGAGGGACGTGAGGCCCCACTCACCCACCCACCACCTTGTGCTGCCACCTGCCTGCCTGCACTCCACCTCTCCCCCCACAGGTCCCCACTGCTCACCATGTCGCTTCTCCTCAGGGGCGGGGCAGTGAGGAGGGACGCTGTGAGCAAACGGCGGGAATGGGAGTTGGGGGGGGGCGGGGGAGTGAGGCGGCTTGGCTGGGCACTGAGGCCATTGGCTCAGATCGGGGAGGAGGGTACCAGCTCTGCCTGGCACTCGGGCAGGGAGTGGAATGGTCCCATGCTCGGGTGGGTGTGGGGGAGCGGCTTGGCCTGGTGCTTGCTCGGGTGGGGGGTGGGTGGGAGCGGCTCAACCTGGCGCTCGTTGGGGAGCGGCTTGCAAAGGTGCTTAGGCCGCCATGGCCCGGTGTGGGGGAGCCGCCTGGTGTGGCGCTCAGCCCGGTGCTGGGCCTTTGGGGGCTGGCCTGGGGTGGGCAAGCCGGGGCTCCTCTGGTCATGGGTGTGTGTGTGTCATGGCTCCTTCTGGTATCGGGGGGTTTGGTTTGGGGGCTCTAGTGTGCAGGGGGAGCAGAGCTTCGGGAGGAGGGGTGGGGCCAACAGGCTAGCCTCCCCAAAGTGGGGGTTCACCCACAGCCCATACCTGTCAAACTAATTTAATATCAAAATATGTGACAGAACAGCCTTCGGGAAAGAAAGAAATCCACAATGCAGGGTGGGCTACAAACCACTTTCCCGAATTCATGAGGTGAAATCCAGAGAATCTTAAGACTCAAAATCTGGAGAACAAATTTACCCATTTCCTTCTGAACAGCCTGAAGCTGCTTTACTCAGCACCACTGCATTATCTGGCTTTGTTATTGACAAAAGATTTAGCATCATCATCATCATAAAAGAGGAAAAAAAGACAATCAAAAACTTCCTATCTGCAAATGATCTGGATTTAGCTGGAAAAACTCCAGATGTCACTTTACCAATACCTGGAGGCTGGGCTTGCAGCTCAAACCGTGCTTTGGGGTTCATTTGAATTCCCCCTTCAGGAATGTGACATTTTCTTCTCCAGCACCCAGGGGCCTGATTGAGGATCAAAGAAATCAAAGCCTGATTCCTAAGCATGGTGGGCAAAGGTCACTGGTAAATGACACACATGAAGGTGGAGGGGTAGAAAGGGAAAAGGATAAACTCTCCACGGCTTGGGCAGAGGCTGCTCTGTGAGAGAAGATGTGTGAGGTTGATGGGGGCAGGAGGGAATCCCCCAGACTCACCCCGTCCCCCTCATATAACACAGAAGTTAAAACACCACATTATTTTACTAGCCCTGCTCCAGCTCTTATAGAATCTATTGAATTCTGGTGTATAAGGGAGAAACAGCACAAAAAATTAAATGTTTTTCAGCATAACATGGAGCAATGTGAGGATGTCTGGGAATGAGACAATCTCACTCCAAAGGGGCCACTAAGTGACTCTAACAATCACTTTGCTAATGAACGATTGGAATAAACTGCTCAGGGTCAGTCTAGACTAAAAAAAGGGGAGGAGGAACAAAGGAGACGCACTAGCTAATCCCAACCACTCGGAGGCTGATATCATCACTCCCCATTTATTCCCTCTCTGGAAGGCACAGATTTGTGTCAGGTCACCGCGCAAGCTGCTGGCAGAGCTGGGAACAGAGCTTAGGTCTCCTGAGCCCCAGGCCAGTGCTCTATCCACTAGGCAACGCTGCTTCCCTCTCAGAGGCTGATGCTGCTGTAGCAGAGGTGGGAAATCCAGACTTCCAACAAAAGGCCCTGTGGGAATCAGTCTCTGCTAATGGTGCTGTCTGAATGCAGCGGGGGCAGGGAGAAGGGGCAGAAGGGGAGAGTGAGGAGGCAGCACCTCTCTACCCCTGTGCTCTCCCTCGCCTCTTATCCCATCATCCCCAAACACTCGACAGCCCAGCACCCAGCTCCCCCTGCTTCCCAGTTCCACCAGCCCCAACCATTCAGCCCCCAGTGTCCTCCCCATAACCCATCACCCTGGTCCCCTAATGGTTGATCCCCGGAGCCCAGCACCCTGGGGGATTTGGGGAGGGAGGAGTTACCAGCCCCCAGGGACACTCCCCCTGCAGGGAACAGCCCCAAGTAAATGGTGGAGCCCAGACCAGCAGCTGGTGCATTGGGGACAGAGGTCTAGAGTGAAGCGGCTGGGGGATGGGGACAGGGGTCTAGAGTGAAGGTGGGTCCTGGACCAAGTATCCTTCTCTTCCTCTCCATGGCAGGGGGATCCCATCTGGGAGGGGAAGGGAGAGGGGGGGAACTTCAGCCAGGCAGAGGGAGCGGCCGGAGGAGTTTCTCTCTCTCTCTCTCCTTACCCGCCCTGTGGCCCATCAGCTCAGCAGCCAGGGCTGCAGCAGGGAGGAGGGGCTGATCAGGGCTTCTCCTCCTCTGCCTGGGGTTTGCTTAGACCAGGCAGACCCAGAGGGTCACTGACCAGCTGATGCTCGGCTGCTGCTGGATCCTCACCCCAACAATGGGCAGTTGGGTCCTTGGGAGCCAAATGCCCCGGATGTGTGTGGGAACGAGGAAATGGGTTTGTCACCATGGCCAGCCTCAGTCAGGGCCCTGACAGAATTTCCCTGCTGTGTGGAGGAGTCTCTGATGTCCAACATGGTGTTAACTCCACTTGGAGCATTTTCCACACTGAGAACGTCTCAGAAATTTCTTCCCTGCGCAGATTTGCGGACGCCTGATACTCCAGGAGCACCAAATGAACCTTCCCCCACATTCAAGGTCTCTGTTGTGTGGGTCACTGAAGTGTGAAGTCAAATTGAATCTTTTCCTGCAGCCAAGCTATTCCTAGGGTCTCTCACCCTTGTGCATTCTCTGATGTTTGGTTAGCTCTGAGGTCTTACTGAAGCTTTTCCCACAGTCAAGGCATTTAGAAGGTCTCTCTCCTGTGTGGACTCTCCCATGTTTAGTAAGGTGTGGGCGCTGACTGAAAGTTTTCCCACAGTCCAAGCATTTATACGGTCTTTCTCCTGTGTGGGTTCTCTTATGTGCAATAAGATTTGAGCTCTGACTAAAACTTTTGCCACATTCAAGGCATTTATAGGGTCTCTCTCCTGAGTGGGTTCTCTGGTGTGTAATAAGCGCTGTGCTCCGAATAAAACTTTTCCCACATTTACAGCATATAAAGGGTCTCTCTCCTGTGTGCACTCTCTGGTGTAGAATAAGTTGTGACTGCTCAATGAAGCTTTTCCCACACTCCAAGCATTTAAAGGGTCTCTCTCCTGTGTGCACTCTCTGGTGTAGAATAAGTTTTGACTTCTGAATGAAGCTTTTCCCACAGTCTAAGCATTTATGGGGTCTCTCTCCTGTGTGGATTCTCTGATGAACAGTAAGTTTTGTTCTGTCAGCAAAACGTTTCCCACACTCAAGGCATTTACAATGTGTCTCTCCGATGTGGATTCTCCCATGTTTAGTAAGGTTTGAGCGGTATCGGAAAGTTTTCCCACACTCGTGGCATTTATAGGGTCTTTCTCCCGTGTGGATTCTCCTATGGTTAGTAAGGGCTGAATTTGCGATAAAACTTTTCCCACACTCAAGGCATCCATAGGGCTTCTCTCCTGTGTGGGTTCGCTGATGCGTAATAAGCGTTGCACTCTGACTAAAACTTTTCCCACACTCACGGCATTTAAAGGGTCTCTCTCCTGTGTGCACTCGCTGGTGTACAATAAGCCTGGACTTGTGTATGAATCTTTTCCCACAGTCAAAGCATTTATGGGGGTTCTCTCCTGTATGGAGTCTCTGATGACTACTAAGTTTTATTCTGTCAGTGAAACTTTTCCCACAGTCGAGGCATTTATAGGATTTGTCGCTTGTGTGGATACTCTGATGCTTAATAAGGTCTGAGCACTTAATGAAAGTTTTCCCACAGTCAAGGCACTTATATGGTCTCTCTCCTGTATGTTCTCTCTGGTGTACACTAAGTTTTGACTTCTGAATGAAGCTTTTCCCACAGTCCAAGCATTTATGGGGTTTCTCTCCTGTGTGGGTTTTCTGATGTGTATTAAGGGTTGATTTCACACTGAAACTTTTCCCACACTCCTGGCATTTATAGGGTCTTTCTCCCGTGTGGATTCTCCTATGTCTAGTAAGCGCTGAGTTCTCAATAAAACCTTTCCCACACTCAAGGCATCCATAGGGTCTCTCTCCTGAGTGGGTTCGCTGATGTGTAATAAGCGCTGAGTTATGATTAAAACTTTTCCCACACTCACGGCATTTAAAGGGTCTCTCTCCTGTGTGGGTGATCTGATGTCTAATAAGCTCTGCACTCCGAATAAAACTTTTCCCACACTCACAGCATATAAAGGGTCTCTCTCCTGTGTGGACTCTCTGATGTACAATAAGTCTTGACTTGTGTATGAAGCTTTTCCCGCAGTCAAAGCATTTATGGGGTCTCTCTCCTGTGTGGATTCTGTGATGACTAGTAAGTTTTATTCTGTTAATGAAACTTTTCCCACAGTCGAGGCATTTATAGGGTTTGTCACTTGTGTGGATTCTCTGATGCTTAATAAGGTTTGAGCGGTGACGGAAAGTTTTCCCACACTCAAGGCATTTAAAGGGTTTCTCTCCTGTGTGTACTCTCTGGTGTACAATAAGACATAGCTTCCTACTGAAGCTTTTCCCACAGTCCAAGCATTTATAGGACTTCTCTCCTGTGTGGGTTCTGTGATGTGACATAAGCTGTGACCACTGCCTAAAACTTTTCCCACACTCAAAGCATTTATAGGGTTTCTCTCCTGTGTGCAGTCTCTGGTGTACAATAAGACATAGCTTCCTACTGAAGCTTTTCCCGCAGTCCAAGCATTTATAGGGCTTCTCTCCTGTGTGGGTTCTGTGATGTGACATAAGATATGACCTCTGACTAAAACTTTTCCCACACTCAAGGCATTTATAGGGTTTCTCTCCTGTGTGCAGACTCTGGTGTGTAATAAAGTTTGACTTCTCACGGAAGCTTTTCCCACAGTCCAAGCATTCATAGGACTTCTCTCCTGTGTGGGTTCTCCAATGTCTAAGAAGGTTTGCACTGAAACGGAATCTTTTCCCACAGTCAACGCAGTTGTAGGGTTTCTCTTCATTGTGACTTGTCTGCTGGACTGTGGTTTCCTTGGGATCCTTGCATCCTCTGCCACATTCAGTGGATTTATCCAGTTTCTTCCTGGGATGGTTTCCCAGCTGCATCTCTGAGCTGTGTCGATCTCCCCAGGTATTTCCCTGTTCCAAGCCCTGGGAAAAATTCTCTTCAGCTTTTCTCAAAAACCTCTCCTGGGGTTCCACTTGCTCAGGACCTTCCTGCTGCTGAGTCTCCTCCTTGTTCTCACTCACTGTCCTATCACCTGCTGGGAGAGAGAGAATCCAGACAGGAGTCACTGCCTGTGCTGGGGAGAAAGGACAGAAAGGGGAATAGCAAAGAGGGAAAACACCACACAGTGACTGTTGGGGAGATGGAGACATTGGATTCTGCCTCCACATCCCACCCAAACACTCCCAGGGAAGGAAAGTCAGGGAGGAAATTCCCGACAGTTAACAAGATGGGTGGGAAGCTATGACTGATATTTGCCTTGATGATACAACACCTGCTGACTGCAGCCCTGATCTGGGTGAGATGGGGCAGAACTGGGGGCTCTCGCTCACGGCACGTTTTGGGAGTCCCAGCTTTTTCCTTCACTCGCCAGAGGGTTCTGTCTCAGTTTCCCTGACTCCTCACCTGTGTGGGTGTCTCTCGGGCTCCCACTTTCCTCAGAGACCTGGAGATCCGGGACCCACGGCTCTTCCCCTCGTTCCAGCCGGGTGATCAGGTCAGGTTTGGGAATGGGAAATCCTGCTCAGGGAGTGAAATCAGGGAAGCTCAGGGTGCATGGAGCATTGGTAGAGTATTTATCACAAGGAACATTCCCCGAGATTAACCTGACGCTACATGGGATTGTGGTAACTCAGACCCCTTGAGAGCAGCAGACATTTGGGGGTAAGGGTTCTTTTTACCCCCTCACTAGGAGGTCTCAGGGTAGATGCGCTCTGGGGTACTTCCTGACACACAGACACAGTTCAGGTGTTAAACTCCTGCCTATTTCTAAGCTTGCAGAACCTAGAGCCCTCCCCACAGATGGAGCAAGGTGAACGGTGTGTGAAGGAGAAATATTACAGACAGGGCAATACCCTGCTTCTGGCCCCTGGACAGCTGGAGAGATGGGAATGAGTTAGCCTGTCCATTTCTGACTCCCCTGTTCCCTTGAATGGGGTCTTGAGACGCAAGTCTCTCTCACATTGGCATAGGCGCCGACTTCCCCTCTTTTCCGTGAGTGCTCGACACCCCCCTCTGCCTCTGTCCCCATCCCCACTCCACCTCTTCCATGAGGCCCCGCCCCTTTCCACCCCTTCCTCGCCTCCCATTTCAACCCCTTCCCCAAAGTCCCCACCCCAACTCCACCCCTCCCCTATTCTAACTCCTTCCCCAAATCCCTACCCTGGCCCCGCCTCTTCCCCACCTCCTCCCCTGAGCGCGCCACATTTGTGCTCCTCCCCCCCCCCCGCCCAGAGCATTCAAACAGCTGTTTGGCAGCAGCCGGGCGGGAAACGCTGGGAGATAGGCGGAGGGGCGGGGACGCGGCGAGCTCGGGGGAGAGTAGGAGGTAGGGCAGGGGAGCTTGGCTGCCACAGGGTGCAGACCACCCACTAATTTTTCCCCGTTGCGGCTCCAGCCCAGGAGCACCCACGGAGTCGGCGCCTATGTGCACTGGAGCTGTGGACTATGCGACCCTCCTCCTCCAATCTAACAGACCAGGGAAGAACCTGACCAGATTCAGACACACAGACCCCACGGCTTCCATTAGCTGAGGCCACAGGAATCTCTTACCCAGCGAGGTCACCGTCTCATGGTTCTCCTGCATGACGTCCCTGTAGAGGGCTCTCTGAGCGGGGTCCAGCAGAGCCCCCTGCCCCTCGGTGAAATACACAGCCACCTCCTCGAAGGTCACCGGCATCTGAAACATCAGTTCCCCCACTCAGCACCTGCTGCCCCAGCCACAGTCCCTCTATTCACAGGGGAGGAAGCCCAGAGGAGCAGAATCCCACCCACACCCTGCTCAGAGCAGCCAGGAGGCTTTAAGGCATGGGGAGAAGGTGAGAGCTCCTTGTCCCCCCCAGCAGACGAAGCAGGGCAGGGTCTTCTCATTTCCCACTCGCCTTCCCAGCCACAGGCTGAGACGGGAAGCAGAGCTTAAGCCGGGGGCAGGGACAGGAATCCCGACAGCTTCCCTTCGTATTTCACAGCAGCCTCTGGCCAGTGGGGTCAGGCTCCAGCACTGGGAGTCTGGTCACTTTTCCCAGCCCTGCCCAGGGGGGTGTTTCCTGGTTCAGAAATGGGGGGAATGTTCCCCACTCCCCCCACCCGGCCAATGGGCCTGTTCAGAAAATCATGCTCCAAGTTGAATGTGTCAAACCCTGTCCTGCCCCTCCCCCTGTACAGCAAATCCCCCTGCAGCTCCCTGAAAATCCCCTGTCTGAGCTGGCTCCATCACAGCCATTTCCCTTCCCTGTCCCCTGGAAGATGGGACGATCTGGAGCGAAACGTGGATGTGATTCCTCAGCCTGTCAGGGTGAGAGGGGTGATGGGGGAGGTTTCAGAAGGGGCTTGAGTCCATTTCACACCCCGATTCCCCCCAGGGTCCCCCCCTGCAGACAGACGCTCTGTCCAGACAGAAGCTGGGAAAACCCTCAGTCACTTTATTCCAACACAGACCTTGCCCCTCCCACCAGCACTGAACCCCTGAGACTTTTAAACCCTCCCAGGGACAGATTCACTAAGACAAAGGCTAGAAAAGAGCAGAATAAAAGGAACCAATTTGGGGAATTCCCCCTGACATTGGCCCCAGGGCAGGGCAGGGCACTGCTGGAACTAGGCCGGGGCAGGGCCTGGCTTTTCCTCTGTCAGCTCCTCCCCTTGCTCCCAGGAGAGTCAGGCTGCCCAGAGGTGATGCAGGGAATGGATCCAGCAGGTCTGGGAGCTGGGAACCTCCCTCCCTACTTCTTGCTCCTGCTGCCCCTTTCCGTCTCACCATTCCCCTTCCTGTCTCCTTCCCTCTCCCCTCTGCCTGGGAGAACTGAGGACTGTCCCATTCACAGGGGCATTCGCTCTCCAGTGTGAGCTTGGCTGTGTCACTGAGGGCAGCAGTTCGGGGATCCGCAGGTATGGGGGAGCCCCTCCCTCTTAGGTACAAACTCACCAGCAGGTCCCTGAAAGGGGCCCGTTGTGCAGAGTCACTTTCCTGCCTGGCCCCAGCCCTTTCGCCCGGGTCTCTCCCAGTCACCTGCAGGCTCCGGCTCAGGGGCTGGTGTTGGCAGAGCCCAGGACTGCCCCGGTCCAGCCACGGAAGTTGTCCGCTCATCCCATCCCCCTTCTCCCCCCTCCCCTGGTTGGACACAGAGGGGGTTAATGAAGGTCTCTCCTTGGCAAAGACCCCGCTGGGGAAGCAGCAGCTGCTCAGTCTGGGCCCCAGATCACACTGCAGGAGGCAGCATCAACCCAATATCATGGGTAAGGCTCCTTAGAGTCACGGATATTTTTAGTAAAACTCAGGGACAGGTCACGAGCTGTAAACAAAATTTCACGGCGCATGATCTGTCCATGACTTGTACTATAACCCGGACAAAATCTTGGGAATCCTGAGGGTGCTCGCGGGGGTGTGTGTGGGGGGTGGCTGGTCAGGGGAGTGGCCTCGGGGGCACTGCGGGTGCTGGGAGTTAGCAGCCCAGGAGGCTCCGCGGGACTTCGGGGGGGCAGTCTAGGGGTCGCTGTGGGTGCTCGGGTGGGAGCAGCCCTGGACCCCTGTGCTGGTGCTGTGGGGTGGGGCTGGCAGGGCTCCCAGGCTCCCTCCCTTCAAAACGACACCCTCCCTAACTTTCTCAACCTCCACAACTACCTTAATCATGACAAAAACCACCTCCTCTAATTTCCACATACACCATAAATACAAAACTATCAAATAAATTTACTAAAAAGCCTCCTTTTCTTTCCCCAAATAGAATTATATTTATTCCCACCTACCACACCAAACAAAAAAATATTAACATATCTAATGAATGAACAAAAAATATTTCTCTCCTAAAAATCTAATTAACTTAAAAAACCTTAAATAAAGTTTCACAATTTTTACCAATATTTACAAAATAAAATAAAACCTACTCTACCACTCATGATAAAACAAACAACAAAACAACACCCACATAACAACAGTAGAAAAAAGGGACCACAGACAGGGAGGAGGGAAAGTTCAAATAACATTAACTCTTCAACAAAAAAAAGCAATTTTTTTCCCCACCACCCCACTCCTTGCCCCTCCCTCAATCCCACTACCAGGCCCCAATTCGTTCCCCACTGAAGCAGCCACAGGGCTCCTCCCAACCCCCCCCCCCTCTCCCTGAACCCAAACCAAACCCCAATTCCACTCCTTCGGCTGCGTGACTCTGGTTGGACACCGAATCCTGAGCGAAACAGCGGCCCCTGTTCGTCCTGTCACCCGGAGCGACCCCTGAAATAAGGGAAGTCTGTAAACACAAAGAAAGGAAGCAGGGTGTGAGGTGGGGGGTCTGGGGAACTTTGCTGTAAATCTCGCCCTGGGGAAATCTCTGCCTGCCCCTCTCTGGGGACCTTCTAAAGAAAGGGGGAGCCCCGCTCCTCCTCTCTCCACAGCCCCGCCCCCTACTCCACCTCTTCCCCCTGAGGTCCTGCCCCCTGGCCATACTGGAAGCTGGGCTGTGATAATATCTGCACAGGGAGCCTAGGCCACTGCAGAGAGCCCTGGACCCTCCACCTGCCCTTGGCAGGGGGCTGGAGTGCTGATTAGGGTGACCGGGTCTCTGATTTTGGACTGGAACACCAGGTAGAAAAGAGATCCTGGAGGCTCCAGTCAGCTCCGATCGTGGTGTCCCACTCCATGTATCCGATTTCCACTAAGCTGGGGTGATGGGACAGGGGGAATCTGTGTGTGCTGCTGCCTCTCTGGGGCCCACAGTTTGTGTCTGAACAAGCCTTCAGGTGCCTGACCGACCCTGGGTGCTTTCTTAAAGAGACCGTGTGATGATGTCAGCATCAGGAGCTGCTGCTCTCCTGCCCTCTCCTTACACAGCCCAGGCGGGGAACAGGATCTGGATGCAGGGCGTCCCGACCTTGCTGCCCCCCTCACAGCCCCCTAGGGGTGCATTGGGCAGACAAGCATCAGTCCAGTGGGGGAGCGAGCAGCAATGCCAGCTGCTCCATCCCTGCATCCAGGTCAGTTTCCCCATGTGGGTGCAGGAAGGGGATGCAGAGCTTGGGGGTAGGAGTTGGGGTGAAGGGGGCACAACGTAGGGGTTAGCATGCAGGAGGGGGCAGGGTTAGGGACAAAGGGGGCTCACTGCAGGGGTTGGGGTGAAGGGAGGGTAGGGAGGCAATTGGGGTGAGGGTGCTTCATGCCCATGGGGGCCAGGGGCAGCAAAATGCAAGTTCGCCCAGGGTGCCATTTTCCCTAAGGCCGGCCCTGACATGAGACTGCCCATCTTGGGGCCCTGTGGGGACTCCTGTACCAGCACCTCCCCCGTCGGGCCCCGAGAAAGTTTGTGGAGAAAGAGTCTCTGTGTAGGCCAGTGTGTGCATCTCCCACATTCAAACCGTTGCACTCCTGGCCTTCTCCTGGTGCCCGTTTGGGCCTTGCAGTGAAAAGGAGACAGGAGAGAGGGTGGGGGAGAGTGACCAAAGGAGGGAGGGGGGGATGGAGTGAGCGGGGGGCGGGGCCTCGGGAAGAGGTGGGACGGGGCGGGGCCTCAACGAAAATTGCGGGGGCAGGGGCGGGACAAAGGTGTTCAGTTCTCTGGACTTAGCAAGCTGGCAACCCCAGTGCCCCTAGCATCCCCCGGCCCATCTGCCGGCCCCCCAGGGCAGGCGGAGAGTCTGGGACTCCCCACTGCAGACGGGGCAGCTCTTGTTATGGCCTGGATCTAGCTTCTGGCTGGCCAGGGGGCAGGGAAGAGGAGGAGCAGGGGGCGGGGGCTCGAGGCCAAGGGGGGGGGTCCCACCTCAATCCCACCCACGGGGAACAGGCTGGCGCTGCCCCGGAGCAGGGAATCCGGGACAAATGGTGTCCGGGAGTCCTTCAGCCCAGGACCGGGACTTGAACTCTGCACTTCAGGACTGTCCTGCCCAGTTCGGGGGGACGGTCACCCTGCCCATCCCCCACTGCTGGTTTGACCATTTGTAGGGGAACAAATCCCCACTGGCCGCTGGGCAGGGCAGCCCCCTCACCCTCCCTTACCCCACGGGGCAGGGGAGCTGCCTTGTATTTCTCCCCACCCCTCTGCCTGCAGCCTTCTCCCTGCCCCCCGGCTCTCCCTTCCCCAGCCAGTCTGCTCTTCTTCTCGGTCTCCCCCCAGCCTCCCCTCCCCACATCCCCCCTGTCCCTCCCAGAGCCCCCTATGTCTTCCCTCCATTCCAGCCTCTTTCCCCTTAGCCCCATAATTCCCCCCCTGCCCCCGATCACCCTGAATCGTCCCAACCTCCCTGCAGTGGAACAACAGCCCAGCCCCCGTCTCATCCTGCCCCCTGCATCCCCCTCCTGCCCCCTCTTAGAGCCACCTCCCCCTGCCCCCATCCCATCCCCCTCCTGCCCCCTCTTAGAGCCACCCCCCGCCCCCCCCACCCCCTCCTCCCCCCGCCCCCCCCCCCCCACCCACCCCCTCCTCCCCCCCCCCCCCCCCCCCACCCACCCCCCTCCTCCCCCTCCCCCTCCCCCTCCCCCATCCCACCCCCCCCCCCCCCCCCCCCCCCCCCACCCACCCCCCTCCTCCCCCTCTTAGAGCCACCCCCTGCCCCCTGCATCCCCCCTCCTGCCCCCTCTTAGAGCCACCTCCCCCTGCCCCCTGCATCCCCCCTCCTGCCCCCGGCCTCACACATCCCTGTTCCCCCCTCAATACCCCCTGATCTCACCTCCCTGCCATCTTCTGCCCCCTC